AAGGGCCTTACATACAGACTTATGAACATGGTCATGGTATTCCAGTTTGGTGGAAAAAAAACTCTGGTGGCTAGCCCACCTATCAAATTTTTATTTCTTTTCAGAAATAGCTTAGGAGCAGTGCTGCTTAGGGTACAAGTATGAATTTTCATTGATTTCTGAGAATTTGGCCATGTGTTCTCCATTTAAGCCTGTCTTCTCCCCCATGATATCCAAACATTATATGCACCAGCAATATTCCAAGTATTTCAGCAGAAAATCTGGTATGTCTTGAGAAAAATCACTTCCATGACTTATTAATGAACTAACTAGACATAATTTTCATTGGGTTCATTTACCCAAATTTATCATAGACTATCATTTAAGAAAAAAATAAATGAAGTGAAAGAATTGAAGTCTTTTTTGGAATAATATTAACATTCAAGTGTCTCCACCCCCCATGGATATTTCAGTTGCCAATGTCTCAGATTCCCCCTTCAAGAAAATTTAAGTGCAAATCCCTTTAACACATGGGCTGACTGTCTTCTGTTTGTGCCCCAGACTGATTACTCCCTCTGCCTGCCCTGTTGTGTGACTGGTGTTGCCTTGTGCAGACCAAATCAATGGGCACCTTGCCCTGTGGCTTCCAGTTGGTTCAGGTGGTGGAGAGTGAGAGCAGGGTATTTTTTTCTTTATTTTTTTTTAAACTTGAGTGTCATTCATTTACAATGTTGCCTTAGTTTCAGGTGTGCAGCAAAGTGATTCAGTATGTATACACACACACATATATGTACTTTTCCCATCACATAGTAGTGATAGTGAATGCATTCACTATCATTCACTTGCATTCACATTGCAAGATAGTGAATGTAGTTCCCTGTCCTTGTTTATTTTCTATATAGTAGTGTGTATCTGTTAATCCCATTATCCCTTTCCCCTTTGGTAACCATAAGTTTGCTATGTCTGTAAGTCTGTTTCTGTTTTGTAAATAAGTTCATATGTATTATTTTTTAGAGTTTATGTATAAGTGATATCATAAGATACCTGTCTTTGTCTGACTTCACTTAGTATGATAATCTCTATGTCTATCCATGTTGTTACAGGGAATTCTCTGGTGGTCCAGTGGTTAGCACGCTATGCTTTTGCTGCTGTGGGCCTGGGTTTGATCCCTGGTTGGGGAACTAACATTGCATAAGCTGTGCAGTATGCCTCTCTCCACCCAAAAAGGAAAATAAAAAATCCATGTTGCTGCAAATGGCATTATTTCATTTTTTTTTGTAGCCAAGTAATATTCCATTGTGTGTGTGTGTGTGTGTGTGTGTTTATGTATATATCATATCATTTTTATCCATTCATCTGTGGATGAACATCTAGGTTGCTTCCATGTCTTGGCTATTGTAAATATTGCTGCTGTGAACATTGGGGTGCATGTATCTTTTTGAATTAGTTCTTGTATTTCCAAATAAATGCCCAGGAGTGGCATTGCTGGTTCATATGGTAACTTCTAGTTTCTTAGGGGACCTCCATGCCTTCTGCATAGTGACTGCACCAATTTACATTCCCAGCAACAGTGCAGGAGGATTCTCTTGTCTCCACATCCTCTCCAGTAATTTATTATTTGTAGGCATCTTGATGATGGTCATTCTGACTGGTGTGGGATGATTCCTCACTGTAGTTTTGATGTGCATTTCTCTAATAATTAGTGGTGTTGAACTATTTTCATGTGCCTGTTCCATCCATATCTTTTTTGGAGAAACGTTTATTTAGGCCATCTACCTTTTTTTTTGGATCCAGTTGTTTGTTTTTTGATATTGAGCTAGACTTTTGTATATTTTGGAAATTAATTCCTTGTTACATTAATTGCAAATATTTTCCCCCATTCCATATTTTGTCCTTTAGCTTATTTATGGCTTCCTTTGATGGGTAAGAAAAAGACAAAGAAATGCAAGAAGGCAAAATGGTTGTCTGAGGAGGACTTATAAATCACTGTGAAAAGGAGAGAAGCAAAAGGCAAAGGAAAGATATTCCCATTTGAATGCAGAGTTCCAAACAATAGCAAGGAGAGATAAGAAATCCTTCCTCAGTGACCAATGCAAAGAAATAGAGGAAAACAATAGAATGGGAAAGACTAGAGATCTCTTCAAGAAAATTAGAGATACCAAGGGAACATTTCATGCAAAGATGGGCACAATAAAGGACAGAAATGGTATGGACGTAACAGAAGCAGAAGATAGTAAAAAGAGGTGGCAAGAATACACAGAAGAATTACACAAAAAAGATCTTCATGACCCAGATAATCACAATGGTGTGATCACTCACCTAGAACCAGACATCCTGGAATGTGAAGTCAAGTGGACCTCAGGAAGCATCACTACAAACAAAGCTAGTGGAGGTGATGGAATACCAGCTGAACAATTTCAAATCCTAAAAGATGATGCTGTGAAAGTGTGGCACTCAATATGCCAGCAAATTTGGAAAACTCAGCAGTGGCCACAGGACTGGAAAAGGTCAGTTTTCATTCCAATCCCAAAGAAAGGCAATGCTAAAGAATGCTCAAACTACTGTACAGTTGCACTCATCTCACATGATGGCAAAATAATGTTCAAAATCCTCCAAGCCAGGCTTCAACAGTACATGAACCGTGACCTATGTTCAAGCTGGATTTAGAAAAGGCAGAGGAACCAGAGATCAAATTGCCAACATCTGTTGGATCATTGAAAAAATGAGAGTGTTCCAGAAAAACATTTGCTTTATTGACTATGCCAAAGCCTTTGACTGTGTGGATCACAACAAACTGTGGAAAATTCTTAAAGAGACGAGAATACCAGGCCACCTGACCTGCCTCCTGAGAGATCTGTATGCAGGTCAAGAAGCAACAGTTAGAACTGGACATGGAACAACAGACTGGTTCCAAATAGGATAAGAAGTCCATCAAGGCTGTATATTGTCACCCTGCTTATTTAACTTATATGCAGAGTACATCATGAGAAATGCTGGACTGGATGAAGCACAAGCTGGAATAAAGATTACTGGGAGAAATATCAATAACCTCAGATACACAGATGACACCACCCTTATGGCAGAAAGCAAAGAAGAACTAAAGAGCCTCTTGAAAGTAAACAGGAGAGTGAGAAAATTGGCTTACAACTCAACATTCAGAAAACTAAGATCATGGCATCTGGTCCCATCACTTCATGCCAAGTAGATGGGGAAACAATGGAAACAATGAGAAACTATCTTTTTGGGCTCCAAGTCACAGGATATGGTGACTGCAGCCATGAAATTAAAAGATGCTTGCTCCTTGGGAGAAAAGTTATGACCAACCTAGACAGCATAATTAAAAAGCAGAAACATTACTTTGCCAACAAAGGTCCCTCTAGTCAAAGCTTTGGTTTTTCCAGTGGTCATGTATGGATGTGAGAGTTGGACTACAAAGAAAGCTGAGCACTGAAGAATTGATGCTTTTGAACTGTGATGCTGGAGAAGACTTGAGGGTCCCTTGGACTGCAAGGAGATCCAACCAGTCCATCCTAAAGGAGATCAGTCCTGGGTGTTCATTGGAAGAACTGATGTTGAAGCTGAAACTCCACTACTTTGGCCACCTGACGCGAAGAACTGACTCATTTGAAAAGACCCTGATGATGGGAATGATTGAAGGCAGGAGGAGAAGGGGATGACAGAGGATGAGATGGTTGGATGGTATCACTGACTCAATGGACATGAATCAGTAAGCTCAGGGAGTTGGTGATGGACAGGGAGGCCTGGCGTGCTGCAGTCCATGGGGTTGTGAAGAGTTGGACATGACTGAGTGACTGAGCTGAACTGAACTTGCTGTGCATATGCTTTTGAGTTTAACTAGGTTCCATTTGTTTGTTTTTTATTTCCATTTCTCTGGGAGACAGGTTGAAAAAGATACTGCTGCAATTTATGTCAGTGTTCAGCCTGTTTTTTCCTCTAAGCGTTTTGTACTGTTCAGTTTCACATTTAGGTTTTTAATTCAGTTTGAGTTTATTTTTGTGTAAGGTGTTAGAGAAAGTTATAATTTCATTTTTTTACATGTAGCTGTCCAGTTTTCCCAGCACCATTTATTGAAGCAACTGTCTTTCCTCCATTGTATAGTCTTGTTTCTTTTGTCATAGGTTAATTGACCATAGGTTCATGGGTTTATTTCTGGTCTTTCTAGCCTGCTCCATTGACCTGTATTTCTATTTTTGTGCCAATACCATACTGTTTTGATGACTATGGCTTTGTGGTATAGTCAGAAGCCAGGGCACATGATTCCTCCACCTCCACTTTTCTTTTTCAAGATTGCTTTGGCTATTTGGGGTCTTTTGTGTCTCCATACAAATCTTAAGATTTATTTTGTTCTACTTCTGTAAAAAAAAAATGCCATTGGTAACTTGAAGGGGCTTGCATTGATTCTGTAGATTGCCTTATAGTCATTTTGACTATATTGTTTCTTCCAATCCAGGAACATGGTTTGTCTCACCTTTGATTTCTTTAATCAGCATATTTTTTTGTTGTTTAATTGAAGTATAATTGATTTACAGTGTGTTAATTTCTTCTGTACAGCAAAGTGATTCAGTTATACATTCCTTCAGTGATCCATTGGTTGTTTAATAGTATATTGTTTAGCCTCCCATATTGTGGTTTTTCTGGTTTTTTCCTTAGAGTTGATTTCTAGCCTCATGGTACTGTGGTTGGAAAATGCCTGATATAATTTCAGTTTTCTTAAATTTATTCAGGCTTATTTTGTGGGCTAGCATGTGGTCTATCCTGGAGAATGTTCCATATGCATTTGAAAAGAATGTGTCTTCTACTGCTTTTGGATGGAATGCTCTATAAATCCTGATTTAAGTCCATTTGTTCTAATGTATTTTTAAGGCCAGTGTTTCCTTATTCATTTTCTATGTGGATGATCTTATCCATTGATGTAAGTGGGGTGTTAAAGTCCTCTAATATTATTATGTTCCTGTTGATTTTTCTTTTTATGTTTGTTAATTCATGTTTGCTAAATCACTTCAGCTGTGTCTGACTCTTTGAGACTCTACGGACTGTAGCCTGCCAGGCTCCTCTGTCCATGGAATTCTCTGGAGTGGGTTGCCATTTCCTTCTCCAGGGGATCTTCCTGACCCAGGGATCCAGCCTTCATCTCTTAGGTCTCCTGCATTGGCAGGCAGGTTCTTTACCACTAGTGCCATCTGGATTTGCCTTATATATTGAGGTGCTGGATGCATATGTATTTGTTGTCTTCTTCTTGGGTTGATCCCTTCATCATTATGCAGTGTTCTTCTTTGTCTCTTGTAACAGTCTTTATTTAAAGCCCATTCATCTGATACAAGTATTGCTATTCCAGCTTTTAAAAAATTTTTTTCCATGAATGGAATACCTTTTTCCATCCCCTTACTTTCAGTCTGTATGTGTCTCTAAACCTGAGGTGAGCCTTTTCTAGGCAGCATATGTACAGATTGTACTTTTCTTATCCATTCAGCCAGTGTATGTCCTTTAGCTGGCACGTTTAGTCTGTTTACATTTAAAGTAATGATCAATATGTATGTTCTTGCTGCCATTTTGTTAACTGTTTTGGATTTGTTTTTGTGGGTCTTTTTTTCCCCTTTTTTTGTTTTCTGGTGATTTGACTAGTGTTATGTTTGAATTCCTTTTTATCTTTTATAGATTTTTGGTTTGTAATTTCCATGAGGCTTTTGTGTAGCATCTATAAATAAACATGATTATTTTAAGTTGCTGATCTCTTAATTTCAACTGTGTTTTAAACACCCTGTGTTTGTACACTCCTTCCCTCATGATTACTGTTTTTGATATCATATTTTATATCAAATTGTTTTGTGTACCCTTAACTGCTTATTGCAGATACAGATGATTTTACTACTTATGTCTCTTAACCTCCCTACTAGTTTTGTGTGTGGGTGAATATCTACCTTTACTATATATTTGCCTTTACCAGTGAGATTTTTCCTTCTGTAATTTTCTTGTTTTTCATTTGGAATCCTTCCTTTAACATTTATCATAAAGTTGGTTTTGTGGTGGTAAATTATTTTAGCTTTTGTCTCTAAAGCTTTTGATTTCTCCATCAAATCTAAATGTGAACCTGATTGGGTAGAGTGTTCTTGGTTGTAGCCTTTTCCCTTTCATCACTTTAAATATATAGTGCCTCTCCCACTGGCCTGCAGAGTTTCTGCTGAAAAGTCAGGTTATGTCCTTATGGGAGTTTCCTTGTATGTTATTTGTTGCTTTCCTCTTGCTGCTTTTAATATTCTCTCTTTAATTTTTGTCATTTTTGTCCTGAAGACTCCAGGGCTGCTACCCACCACTGGCAGGTGAAGCCAGGTCCTGGGGTTAGTCCCAGACTACTGGCAGGAGAGCTGGTTCCTGGAGTCTGGCTGCAGGGCCAGGGATCCCAGAGCTTGTTTCAGATCAGTGGTGGTGGTGGTTCCTAACAGTAGTTGGGTATGAGGTCCTGAAGATTGTGTTAGCCTGCTAGGGGGCTGGATAGGGCCCATCTGCTCCCATGGTAGGGTCTGGACTGATGGGGGTGGGGAGCTGTGTCCCAGCGCAGTTAGTCGTTTGGCATGAGGCATCTCTGCACTGGCATCTACAGTTTGTTGGGTGAGGCCAGGTCTTAGTGCTAATGAGCCAAGACGTCAGCTGCCAACACAGTGTTCATCTGTTTGAATGTTCCCCAACATGTCTGCCTCCAGGGTCTATGTCCCCATGTTGAGCTGCAGCTAGGTGTCCCCTGCACCTCCACCCTGCCTCTCCAGGACACTCACCAGGCCCAGCCGGTGGGTCTGGCCCAGGCTCCTATGAGATTACTGCTCTTGCCCGGGGTCCTGGTGCATGTGAGATTTTGCCATTTAAAAATGAAGTCTCTATTTCCCCTAGTCCTGTGGGGTTCCTGCAGTTAAGCCCCGCTGGCCTTCAATTTCAAATGCTCTGGGGGCTTGTCTTCCTGGTGCCAGACCTCTGGGTCGCGGTTGGGGGGGGGCGGTGGCTGACATGTGGCTCAAGACTCACTCCTGTGGGAGAATCTCTGCAGTTTAACTAATCTCCAGTTTGTGGGTCACCCACCCAGTGGGTCAAGGGATTTGATTATATTGTGAGTCTGCCCCTCGTACCTGTCTAGCTGTGGTTCCTTCTTTATATCTTTAGCTATAGAAGGTCTTTCCTGGTAGTTGCCAGTCTTTTTTATCAATGGTGGTTCTGCTCATAGTTGTGATTCTGGTGTGCTCATGAGTGGAGGTGAGCTCAGGTCTTTGTATACTGCCATCTTGGCCGCTCTCCCCGAGGTCAGCATATTTTAACCCAGGCTCCCTTTCTGAGGCCTGTGGCACCTGTCTGGCAGCCCCCTCTACAGGCCACCTCCGTCCCCACTTCCCCTCAGGCTGTAGCAGCGCAACGGATACTGTTCCCTACATGCGGCCAACACCTCTCTAAGTATTCTTATTTATTAATCTCCTAAAATTCTCCCAATTGGAGGGTGCCATCTTCTTCATGCTGGGACCGTAAGTGATACAAATAAGCATCTTAATCCTGAGATAATAAGAGGATTGGGCTTCCCTGATAGCTCAGCTGGTAAAGAATCCACTTGCAATGCAGAGGATCTGGGTTTGATTCCTGAGTCAGGAAGATCCTCTGGAGAAGGGATAGGCTACCCACTCCAGTATTCTTGGGCTTCCCCTGTGCCTTAGCTGGTAAAGAATCCACCTGCAATGTGGGGATCTGGGTTCAATCCCTGGGTTGGAAGATCCCCTGGAGAAGGAAAAGGCTACCTGCTCCAGTATTCTGGCCTGGAGAATTCCTGGGGAATGCACCAAGATTGGCTCGACATGTGTTTTGGAGAGTAACACACTGGGATCCAGCAGTGGGGAGATCTTCTCCTGAAGGTTATAGGATATGGAATGTGAATCATTGATTTTTCCAGTGTCTCTCTAACATGGCCCTTTTATCTCTTGACCCAGAGCTGGCACATGTGTTTTAGGAAAAATGAATGTTGTTATGGAAAGTCTGTGTCCCCTCAGTCTGTATGCTGATGTCCTAGTGCTCCACGGGGAGTATCTGGAGACGGGCTTTTGGGAGAGTAGGGTAAGGTGGGACCTTGGGGGTGGGGCCCTCACAGTGCGATTAGTGCTTTTTAAGAAGAGGCGCTCCCCCACCCTCTGCAGGCACACGCCGAGGAGAGGTCCTGTGTGCACGCAGAAGAGAGCTGCCACCAACAAGCCAACCCAACAGAAAAGCCCTTAGAATGCAACTTACCTTGCTGCCACCTCCACCTTGGACCTCCCAGCCTCCAGAACTGTAAGAAATTTGTTTAAGCCACCCAGTATTTTGTTATGGCAGCCTAAGACAAACGTGTAGGCCTTCAGACAAACTTATAAAAATGATCTAGTTTGGTGGTTCTTCCCTCCTGTAGCCGTTCTTCGTTATAGCCCACTTTACTATTTAAACAAAGACAATGGTGGCTTTATGGCTGAATTCAAACTGTAAAGGCCACTGCATCTTTCTCAGACTGGCTGAACTTGGAAATGAACCAATTTCCTCAACAGTTTTGCCGAGTAAAAAATTCATTTAACTATGGATGCTGAGAAGGCTAAGCCTTTGGTTCTTTCCTAGAAATGGAACTGGGAAGGTGCTCACAGAATGATGCCAAGCACCAGCAGCTGTATAGTTTCCATTTTATTTTATGTGCTTTTTTTTAATAGGATATAAATAATGACAAAAATTACAAAATTTATAACTGGAAGCCCAAGCATATTTACACATATGTCTCCATTTCAGCAAAGCTACTGTTTACTTTGCTCCTATACAATTTCCTTTTGGTACCATATTTTAGTGTTATTTTACTCTCAATTTACTACATACATATCAACAGTGAATAGGCAAAATATATACAAGGAACTGTTCAGTTCAAGTAATTTAATATTGTATTAAAATTCTTTAACACTGAACTAAAGCCATATACATTTGTCAGTTTGAAATAAAATTGTTTTCTTTCTTCAAAACTCACCAACTGATGATGTAACTGATAATCTCAGATTTAAAATAATATTGGTTAATTAAAAAAAACATTAAGACAATCCCACAATTTATCAATATCGCTATAATGAACTTCAAAATGATTCACAATGTGATTGGTTAGAACAATATACATTAAAATGTTATTTTTTTCTATGATATTGGTATTGTTTATATAATTTGATTCTACATAAATATACATTATGGTATCATACAAATACTCCACAGAGACATTAAAAAATTAAAATACCTTAAAGAAATGTAAGTAAATTTTATTTAATCAAAGAGTAAGCAAACATTTATTTATTTTCTTTCAAGAAAGTTTTATTACTTTGGAATCTCTCTTTTTTTTTTATTTGTTTTTTTTCTAGAAAAAAAGTTTTTTGCAGTAGAATTTTATTAACACCTTTCTCAAACAAGGTTTCCATGACAGAAATCTTGACGGCAGGAGCCCTAGATTTTTTTAACATGTTCTTTAAAACTGTGAAGATTAAAAAAAAAAAAATCTTTGCAGGCTTACGGCTGCGTCAGCACTTTCAGTAAGACGCCAGTCTGCTGCCTAAATCTCCTGCTCTGGGGAGTGGCCTGGGTCCTCTGCCACTCTGAGCAGCCCTCTTGGTGGTAGCAGTTGAAATGAAACCAGAAACATCCCTCACGACTAACCTAGTTTTCTTATCAATGCATTAGTGAAACATTCTTTTTAATAAAAATATTTAATACAAGACACGTTTTTCTGTGCATAATAAATTCCTCTGTTTTAAATCATTAGGTTTTTGAATCAATCCACAGATGTAAAGGTTTTCTTTATCTGACATGGTTGATTACATATAAAATCCACAAATATAGAAATTGGGAAATAGAATTCCCTGGCAATCAGGGGAGTAACTTCTGTCCTCTTGCATGAAACGATACTTAGTGAGATCATGACTTTAGAGATGCTTTCTGGGGGTAGTTCTGTTCTACCTTGAAAACTGCTGACAGTGAAAAATAAACCCAAGATTTTTATACTTTTAGGCAGTATTAGCGATCCCCTGTGTTTTTGCAAGGTGTTATCCCCAAATAACAGCAAAGCGAGGTTGGGGCAGAGTCATGAGAAATACCTTGGGTGGTGGCCAGGAGTTGGGGTTGGGAGCGTCAGCCACAAACCTCTGCTCTTTCTCTCAGGGGTTACGGCTGGAAAGTCTTGGTTGCACTTTCTGTCACCGGTGCAGAAAGAACGTCCCCAGGAGTGGCCAGTGGCCTCTCGCCCGTGACAAGGCCACACAAACAGAGCAGTCTTCCTCCCGGGCTGGGTGGAAAGCCTGCTCCGGGACTGCTCGGCGTGCAAGGCACCACGAGGACGGGAAGGAGGTGAGTATCAGAAAATCGTGGTCTCATACTTGGTATTTATCCCCCGCTTGGCCTCTTGTCCTGGCTCCACGATCCACGGCAGGTTGGCCAGAGTCTTTTGCTCAGATGGGTCGATCTGCTTTAGAACAGAAAGGCTAATGCCTGTTATACGGTAACTGCTCGGGAGTGCACGCATGCATCCTAACACTGCCTGGAAATCAGGATTGTGCCCTGGCAAGACTTCAGGATGCTGGTGGGTGAGTCATTTGTTGGTTCTTCTGATCACGTTGACTGCACAGGTTCAAGGCACAGCGGAGAAGGGGGGACAGTGAGTGAAGCATGGCCCTTCTCTTGAAGGCACGCGGGCGGGGAGCGGATACAGGAACACTTTACTGAGAAGTGAGATTTGAAAGGGAATAGGGCACTCTGTGGACACCAGGAAGGCCACTGGCCCCGTGCTGCGAGGCAGGGGGACTTCCTGGAGGAGATGAGCCAGGCTATGTCCTCCCTAGCTCTCAAACCTCCATTGGTTTCCTTCATAGTAAGAATAAACCCAAAGTCCTTGAGGGGACCTCTGGGGGCCCTGCCTGCCTTTCTGTGCTCCAGCCGCACCAGCCTCCCTCTTGCTCCCTGCCTGCCGAGCCCACGCCCTCTGTGCCCATCAGTTCTCTGTCTGAATACACTCCGGACACCTGTGTGCTTTCTGCCCTAATGTTAGTGTGGCACACGCGTCATCTCCTCACCGGTTTACTGCATGTAAACTAGCACCTCAGCTTTTCTGCTCGCTTCTTTATAATCCTTATGCCATATGCATCATGTTTATTTGTTCATCTGCCACTAAAATGTGCGCTCACAAAGGTGGGCTTTGTTCTGTTTACTGCGGGTGCCCTCAACTTTGACAAGCTCCCAGTAAACAACAGGCGCCCAATCCATTCCTGTCAACTAGACATTATTTGAAAATTAAGGTATATGTCTAAATGGAGAGCTGGAAGATGAAGCTTCCTGGGGAGCAGTGCGTGCAGAGTCCCTGAGGTGAGGGGAGGGGAGTGAGGGTTTGCAGTCAGAGTGCTGAGGGGAAGGTGAGCAGGGCCAGGTCAGGCTGAGCCTCGACCTTGACCCAAACTGAGCTATAAAACGTCAACACCTGTACAAGGTCACGCAGACCTGCCCGGGTAAAGCTTGAGTTCTAAGCTCTCACAGTGACGGGGAGGGGGCTGGGGCAGTTCTGCACCAAACTTCCCCCTCTTTCCTTGGTGTTTCCATGTCTGCCCTTGGACACCTGCTCTGCTCAGGAAACCTGGAACAAGGGGGCTACCAGAAGGCTATGGGGTTCGTGCTTTTCAGCTGCCTGTGATTTGTCTGTACCTCCACAAGGCTGTGGGGGAACTTCACATGTCTAATCACAGGATATTTCTCAACAATAGTTTTGGGTCTGAGGGAAATGGAACACAGACACCTGCTGAGGGGGATGGGATCTTGGGGCAGTTAAAGAGCAGCAGTATTATTCACTGTATGTTCCATCTTTTTCAGTGAAGGCTTCTAAATGAATATTCTATGAGCCCTTATGGTGCACATCCCTGCATACTCGCCTGGAAGAAGTCTACAGGGACCAAAGAAAAGTCGGATGGAGGTAGGAACAGATTTATCCAGCCCACATGGGAATGCATACAATAGACTAGAGCTAGTCCCCCAAATATTCTGAAAATTCCTGGATGTTTAACCTGCTTTTCCTGTGGGGTAAGACAGACAATAAATAGGAGACGCCTCTTTGTGTAGCTGGGGCCTGGATGGCCAACTGGAGAAAGCTGTGCAGAAATGAGGGGGGGACGAAGCCAGGTGGAGGGAACACAGGTAGGTGGAAGCTTTGTCTATTCCAGGAATATGGAGGCTGAGTGTCTGGGAGGGGTGTGGTGGGAAGTCAAGGCTGTGGTACCATGATGTGGCTGCCCTGTGGAGGAAGGTAATTTCAGGAGGTGTCCTGGAGTAGTTTTGGAGATGTGGTGGTGATGGCTAGGATGGGAAGGGTGACAGAGAAATGGAGAGGAGTGGATGAGCTGAGGGATGTTTTAGGGGCTGAATGGATGGAATCTGCTTGTGGGCTGGACACAGGGGTGAGAGGAAGACAGGAATCAAGGCTGCCTTCTAGATTGATGGCTTGAGCAACTTGGTGACTGGTTAGCCTGTTTACTAAGCTGGCTGAGGTGGGGACAGAGAAACAGCTTTGTGGAGAGATCAAGCATTCTGTTCTGGGCGTAGTAAGTTTCAGCTGTCTGCTAAGTATCAAAGGAGAAATTGGACCTGTAGGTGTGGGGCTGGGAGGTGCTGAGGTGGGAGGATGTGCAGTTCCTGGCAGTGGTCAGTGAGGGACAAGCATGGGTGTGAATGGTGAGGTGGAAGAAAAACTCTGAGATGTGAGCTGTCACAAGAAGCCGCATGGTCTTCAAGCATGGTGCTTCTGCAAACATTAAAAACCCTACAATTGCCCATGACCTGAGGTTGGTGGGGAGGAGGAGAGTCACAGATGGAAGGATACATGGATGTGAGAGCGATGCCTCTGGGATGGTGTTGCTGCCCAGAGTCCCAGAGTTCCAAGGATGCCATACGGCAGCAGAAACCAGACGTGAGGCGGGGAACATTCCAGCTTCTGGGTGCTGCTACTACCAGAGGAGGCCGCTTTGAAGTCAGGAAGTCTGTTAGGACAGGATGTGTGCAGAGCGTGTGGGAGGGAAGGGGAGGAAATTCCTGGAGGAAGGCAGATGCGAGCAGGAGGGGCAGTACCTTCTGAACAGGCCCGCTCTGCAGGACGCCTCAGCTGCTGCCGGGAGAACACAGGGCCTGGTGCCCAGGCCTCTCCCACCCCCACCCCCTGCAACCCTGGGTCCGGCTGCAGCTTCTACTTGCTGGGTACCAGGGGCACCCTTGCTGTAAGCCTCTGCCAACCTCTCTGCTGCCCAGTGGCCTGGAAGAGGCCTGCCCCCTGCAAGGGTGGCAGCTGAGGCCTCAGGGATCTTGGTCCCCAAGTAGCCTGGATCGAGAGGAGAGACTGACCCGGGACAGCAGCACCCAGCCCCCTCCCAGGCTGCTGCAGGGCACAGGGCAAGTGGGATTTTCTCGGGAGCCTCCAGGTTCAGTAGATGGTCCCCAAGACTGCAGGAACTGGGCTGAGGGGAGGACAGGAAGGGCAGGCCCTGGATTCTCACCAGCACCCACACCACCACAGATCCTTCCCTCCAGTTCTCAGAACATCTGTGTCTTGTCTACTTACCACCGACTTGCGAATGCTGACGCGGGGCTTGGGGATGGGCTTGGAGGGCTTGTTTTCAAAGCTTTCTGGAAGCGTGGAGGAATGCCCCCCTTTCCTGGCTTGCAGCGCGAGCTGGTAGGCGACTTCAAAGGCCTGTCCGAGCGTCAGGATGATCTCATAGGCTAGGTTCTGCAACAGAAATGGGAAGGCGTTTACAGCAGCATCCTGCAGGTCAGAACAGAGTCACTGAGGGGGTGAGCCGGCGAGGACCTGCAGCTGTTCCACCTGACATGGCAGCGCGTCAGGGGAAATCTGACAGACTGCACACTCTGGGTCCAAGTTAGGGTCTGCATGAGGCATCAAGTCACTGCTGCAATGCACACGCTTACAGCCACCCCAAGGAGCCCGCCCTGGAACCCCGCTTCCCCCTGGGTGCCTGTTTTGCTCCCAGGCCTTGGAAGGGAAGGGGTTACACTGGTCCCTCAGCCTGTGAGGGTGAGCCCACACACTCCCCAGGAGGTGCTCCTGAGAAGTTTGGGTCTCTTTACCTCCAACATCTGTGATTCAGTGAACATCTCTGAAACACAATCACAGTCTAATTTAGGCAGAGGGGAGAGGCATTAGTCATGCTGGTGTGGTGTCTCGCAGTCACAGCAGCGAGCACGCAAACAGAGCCAATTATCCATCTATTTCTTGAGGCGTCTGCTCTCCCTGTGGGTCCACTCCATATTTTATCACCAAATCAGTGTGAGACAGGAGATTCTGCCTGAATGCCATGCCACACAGCGCCTAGGAGAAGTTCTTTTCTTCAGACCTTCTTCATTCTCCTCGGGATGACGTCTTGCTTCTCTCCTCCAGGTTCCTACTGCACTTCTGCCTTCTCTTTCGAGCACTGTCCCACCCCATCTTCTCTCACTGAGAAAATAAGACCTGAGTTCAACAGCACATCAATGAGCCGGATGTCTATGGGTTACAGTGAGTTTTCTTAAAACCACCGCCCCAGCTGAGTGCCGGCAAGGTCTGTCCCAAGTTTCCACGCTGATGAACATCCCTAGATATCTGTGTGTGGTTTCTCAAAACCAGAAAAACTTTGCTGATTTTGCATCTGTGACCCTGCCGCCTCAATCCAGGACACAGAACAGCTCAATTCCCATGACTCTGAGGGGTCTGGTGGGGACTGTTCCCTCTTGATGGAGGAGGAGGGAGATGCAAGATGGCTGTCAGAGGCCCTGTGGAAGAACCTGTGGGTTTCCACCCTGACCAGAGTATAGATCCATGCCAGACTGTTGGGAACTAGTCTCACAGAGGACATGTCTTCTCTTTAGAGACACAGGTGAAGAAGTGACACCCCACAAGACAGACGTCTGCTTACTGGAGATGCTGAGCCTCACACAGCCAGCCAAGCTCTTCCTTCAATGAGCATGGGCCATTATTTGCCTCCTAAGATGAGTCAGACCAGGAAATTAGCAATGTGCCAACAAATGCTAGTGGAGGAGGGCTGAGCCCTCACGTCACCACCAGTGTGGTCCCCTGGAAAGGGGGCTCCGGGCATAACTGCCCCCACGAAGTCTGGGCTCGTCTTGTTCACAGCTGCTGTGGAGATAGATGGTGGTTGTCCATCTGTTGGTAGCTGGTTTTTGTGCTCTAGGCGGGCAGCTGGACTGAGGGAAAGATGGCAGACTCAGCGATTCTGTAACATGCAGCTTTCTGATTCTGGGACAAAGGTGCTTGATGAGTGTGAATTCCTTTATTGTTAACCTAAAAACAAGTTCCTGAAAGTGAGATTTACTTACAGCTTCAGTGTCTTCAAATGAAGCCTATTTGAGCAGGTGAGATTTTCACAAGACTATTATCAGAAGGCTAAAGGTTTTTGAAAGGTTCTGGTTAGAAGCTCTACTCTTTCTTTTAAAAGAAGTCCCCAGTGGTAGGAAATCACTGAGATGAGACACACAGACCCGACCAGCCCATGAGGTTCCTGCCAGGTGGCCTCTCCTTGTCTGGCTTGCATTCTCCATGATGTCTTGGCTTTTCATTTTATTTAGAATGCTCATTTTGAGAGTTGTTGTTTTATGATCTGTCAAGAACTGGACATTGTTACCTTGCCTACACTTTCTGTCATCTCGGTGTTTGAGGCTTCGATCCTGGATGCCAGTGATAGCCCGCAAGGAGCAGCTTCTGGGGCTTTGCTTGCAGAGAGTCCCGGGGCCCTTGAGGGACTCAGCAGATGGGACCTGAGGACGCACATCTGAATGGGATGAGGGTTTGTTTCCCCCACCTCTTCTTAATACCATCCTCACTATTTAAGGTGGGAGGAGAGTTACTGTGACAGCAGGAGACTCAGGACCAAAAGGGATACCACAATCAGATCAGAGCGGCTTAGGTGACATGCCCTTCCTTCCTCCTCTGAGCCAGGTCTGCTGACCCCAGAGATGCTGCCTGGCATCCAGGGGATGCTGGTTTGCTGAATGAATGAATGAATGAATGAATATCTAAAGGCCAAGCTGGAGTAATAACACTACTAGTTATTACTATAGGTAACACAGCTACTGTTAAAAAGTGAGGACTTTGCAGATATTAGGCACTGAACCAACCAACAGTTTACCATAATCATCTGCAGTTGAATATCATTATCCTTATTTTGTAGATAAGGAAACTGAGGCTCAGAAAGGTTAATCTGACATCACAAGCTAGAAAGTTACAAAGCCGTGGTATGAACCAATATTTGTGACCCAAAAGTCTATGTTCTTTCAAACTAATTTGAAAAGATTTATATACCCCAATGTTCATAGCAGCACTATTTACAATAGCCAAGGCATGGACGCAACCTAAAGTCCATCAACAGATGAATGGATAAAGATGTGGTATATAAGGGAATATTACTCTTAAAAAATGAAATAATTCCATTTTAACATGCATAGACCTAGCGATTAGCATACTATGTGTAGTAAGAGATAAATATCATATGATATCACATATGTGGAGTCTTAAAAAATGATACAAATCAACTTATTTACAAAACAGACTTGCAGACATAGAAAACTTACAGTAACTAAAGGGGAAGGTCAGGGGACAACTTGGGAGTTTGGGATTAACATACACACACTACTATATATAAAATAGAAAAACAAAGGCCTACTGTATGGCACAGGGCTACATATACTCAGTGTCTTATAATAAAAGCAGATGCCTAGGTTGGTAACTCTGACTCAAACTGAATCTCTCTGTATCAATTCTGCCAATCCACTGTATTTTATATAAACACCTGGAATATTGTAAGTCAACTATGCTTCAAAAAAGGTATGTTCCCACCCTCCCCACGTGTGGCAGCTTGTCTCCAAGGTGGCAGCCATCACTCTCTGCTTCCCTCATGCCACGGTGCTCACATTGAGAGGACTAGTCTGTTCTTTCACCTCCTTGAATCTGGATCAGCTATCCTGACTTTCCTAACTAGCAGAATGTGCAGAAGTGACATGCTGGGACTTATGAGATTAGATTGTGAGGGTCTTGCAGCTTCTACCTGGACCTCATGGAACACTCACTCTGAGGGAAACCAGCCACATAGAAAAACATCTCATCTTGAGATTTACCACGCTGTATCTCCAAGCTGGCCAGGGGAAGAGGCCGCCTGTAGAGAAACAGCAGTTGCGGCCATCCCAGGCCAGGCTCCAGATAAATGAAGTGAAGGAGTGATACTGGACATTCAAGCGCCAAGAGATGCCACACCCAGGATCTCAGACAGATGGCCCCAGTGGAGGCCCCAGATATCATGGAGCAGAAGAGCAGAAGTGCTCTGCTCAGATTCCTGACTCAGAATTGTAAACATGATAAAATGGATATTGTTTTATAGCAGTAAGTTTTGGGAGTGGCTTGCTAAATAAACAGTAATAGATAACTGGAATACCATGCAGTGCTAAGGAAGGCTAGCTAGACCTCATTGAGGTGGCAGGAAGAGGGGATCAAGCTGCAAGCAGAGATGAACAGTCATAATTAGCAAGCCAACTCCAACAAAACAAAGTTCATGCACCACGACCAGGTTGGATTCACTGCAGGGTCGGTCACTTGGGAAGTTCAACATACACAAATTAATCAACGTGATACACATCAACAAAAGACAAAAACCACACGGTCATCTCAACAGATACAAAGAGCATTTGATAAAACTCAACAACATCCACTTATGATAAAAACTCTTATGGAAGTGGGTATAGAGGGAACATACCTCAACATAATAAAAACTATGACAAACCCATGATCAGTATAATAATAGTGAAAAGCTGAAAGCCTTCCTGCTAAGATCTGAAACAAGAATACCCACTCTCACCTCTTCTATTCAAGATAGTATTTTAAGTGCTAGCCAGAGCAATTGGAAAAGAAATAAAAGGTATCCAAATTAGTAGGGAGAAGGCAAATTTGTCATTATATGCAGATGCATAATATATATGCATACTATACATGGAAAACCCAAGATTCCACTCAAAACTATTAGAACTGATAAATTCAGCAAGGCAGCAGGATGTTAAGAGTAACATAAACAGAAATGGGTTGCATTTCTTTACACTAACAATGACATATCAGAAAGGGAATATAAACTATCTCAAAATTACATCAAAAAATATTTAGTAATAAACCTCACCAAAAAGGTGAAAGACTTATATGCTGAGAACTACAAAATGTTAATAAAGGAAATCAAAGACTGTTCAAAGACATGGAAAGATATCCCATGCTCTTGGACTGGAAGATTTAAGACTGTTAAAATGGCCATACTATCCAAAGCAATATACAGATTTAAAGTGATCCTTATCAAATTACCTGTGACATTTTTCACGAAACCAGAATAATCCTCAAATTTATATGGAACCATAAAAGACTCGAGATTGCCAAAGCAAGAAACATAATTCTCCTAGTCTTCAGGCAATACTACAAAGCTATAGTAATCAAAAGTGTGGTATTGGCACAAAAACAGACATATGGATCAATGGACAGAATAGAGTCCAGAAATAAACCCATATACTTACAGTCAGTTAATCTACAGCAAAAGAATCAAGAACATACAATGGGGAAAAGACAATACCTTCAGCAATCCGTGTTGGAAAAGTTGGACAGCAGCATGCAAATCACTGAAGTCAGAACACACTCTCACATCATACACACAAATAAACTCAAAATGGCTTAAAGAAGTAAAATATAGG